CGTGGCATAATTCAAGACGTGAGAGGTTTTATGTCTTGCAGATCTCATCTGTGCCAGTTCTGACAGATCGTAGGCCTGATTTTGGAGTCGCATGTCTCAAGTAAAGTAATTTTCCTGATCGTGATTTGAAGAATTCGTAAATTTTCTGCGAAATTATGCGAGTTTAAAGTAAGTTTGGACGCAAAACAGCCTCTGCGATTGTCGCAAAACAAACAAGGAAGCCTGACGACATTTGGCAGAGTTCCTGGTAGATCGCAGTTCACAAAATGTAATTTGTGGCCGACTGTCACTGTAGCAAATATTTTCTGAACTCGCTTTTGGTCCATTGTCTTTAAGAACTTCATTTAATCTTCCTATTTTCTTCTCCGCGTGTTTATATCTCGTGACATTTTCGAATTATTTGACAAACATCCATGTTTGTTTACTTCCAAGCCAATCTCTTCTGTACAGCCCTCAAAATATTTGTACACAACGATGTATAAAGTGAAGCTTAGTAGACAATGTTTACGACATTTATAGTCGCACGCTGACGTCATCAAAACCCACAAATGCCCGATTTAGACCGTTGAATTCAAGCCGGATTTTATTTTGAACAAAGGGTTGTCACGTGTGACAGGGAAATTCAACGATGCCACATTTCTGACCCCCGGCAAGAAAATTGAGTTACCAAATCGAAACCTTGTTTCTCCAGAGTTAAACATTGCAACTCAGACTGAACTTTTACAGAACGTTTTCACGCAAACACATAATAAATTCGCCTTGAATTAATGTGTACCACCTTCCTAGAAGTTTAAATTATAAGATAGTATAATTGCGTCATATTGTGAATCAAATATTAAATTAATTATTCCGTCTAATCACAATTATATTTAAAATTTAAAATTTACAAATAAGATAATTAAATTATCATTTTATGTTCCACATCGAATAATCGATTTACATTTGAAACATTAAAAATGTTCCAAATGTAAAATGATAATTTAATTATCTTATTTGTAAATTTTAAATTTTAAATATAATTGTGATTAGACGGAATAATTAATTTAATAAGTTTAAATTAGTGTTTCAAACAACGAAATAAGGTTTGGCGTTAAACTGGGTTAATTAGGTTAATTAAAATACACTGTAATAAGTGCAGGTTTATTTTTAGAACAGGATTAAAGTGCTTTCCTTCAGAAAGTGTTCATATCGAAACACTACTCCTCTCATGACATCTTCTGGGGTTATCGTCTGCATTTGTAAAGGACATTAACTTGATTTACCAGTGATAAATTCTTATTGTCTGTTCGTGTGAGTGGAAAAAGGCCCTAAATAGCTGTGTTTCTGAACGCTTTTTAGTCAAAATGATGAAAGTACATTTTTAAGTATTTTGATGACGGAGGATGTTCCACCTCTGAGGAAGTTAAAATTGTCAGTCCCGCGGGAAACATGTTATCAAACAGGATTAGAAGCCTTGTTTCGTGGAACGTTACTGGAACAAAAGCTTTGGAAACCCTAGATCCTCTACCATATCTGTACTCTACCCATACACGCTACACTCGGATCTAGAAGTTAGTATAATGGCACGTTCGTTGTTAATTCCAAACACTTTAACGTTGTTTCCTAAATAGTTTCATGTTCTTTTGTAAAATAAAAATTGAAGTGAATTGTGCTGAGCAATGTTGTCCTGATAATCTACCGGGAAGTGATTTATAATCGTGTCTTTAAATTAGGAAGGTGCAACTTTCTTGAACAGAGAGTACTACCAGTGCGCACTAACAGCTGCGCAGAACCGTGGCTCGCAGACGATGCAAAATAAATCGAACCAGACTTCTGTGTTGGTGAGATGCGTAGTGAGTTCTGTGCAACGTTTTTAGTGATTTTGTAGCTATTTTTAAGTGTTGAACGTTGAATTTAGAGTTTTATGTTTTTAAGACTATATAGATTCAGTTGATATAGAAGGACGAGCTTATGGAGGTTAGTGTACCTTAATATTAGGTAGTTCTTTGTTTCTTTGTGTGCTGTGACAGTGTTATTCAGCCATCTTGTGTGTTTACATGTTATTCACGTAATTATTTCCGAACTCCTTGTTAGTGCCACACATTTAATAACATTTTGAAGAAAATATGTTATCGTTTCAATTTTTGGTGCATAATAACAGGGCTTTAGTTCTGACTACAGGCGAACTGTCATCTCGCACAGAAATTTATTTTAAGTACGTGCTTAATAATAGTACATCTGTATACGTTTTCTTCCGTAGAAGTTGCGGTGTAGTATTTGTTTTCTGAACTGTGTAGATGCAAATACGTGATGATCACGTCTGAAATGTGCGGTTTTCAATGTGTGTCTTTGTTGTTGTTATTGGTCCTGCAATCAGCTGGGAGGCCGCCATGTGTCCTGGTTGTGCAGGGCTGTGCTGGGTTGGAGACTGCGCAATCTTTGTAGCGACTTTTGTTAGCTCAGAATCCACTATTTATAAGGGTAGCATTTCATAAGATTCCTTTTCGTGCTGTTAATTCAGTATGATGCACATTTAATTTTCATTGTTGTTCGTACTTCATTGATGTCAAGAATTCCACGTTTTGGTATTCGTAATTGACCACATCCACGTTCGAGTATCCATTTATTTACGTTATAATAATGTACAATTTAAATTACGTTTGCTTTAGTATTCCTAATATGATATTCAGTTGATTTCGCTGTTCAGTAAAATGGCCCATTGTTCGACATTTGATACTAAATTCAGTGAAAGTTTGCATAAGCTAGAACGCTCGTAATTTTGATAACGATTGTAAAACTAGGTTAGGAACGGAAGGAAAAATAATACACCTCTTTATAAGTACTTTGATAATGATTAATATGTAAGAATGTTATATTCTTTCTGTAGCTTGGAAATACGTGATTAGATTTAAAGGTAGGTTATTTGATATGCCAAAGAGTAGATATTTCTTAATTTATTATATGATTATCGCAGATGCAGCAGAATGTACATTTAACGTAGTACCGTAGCACAAATTTAGATTACAAAACTTATTTAGGAAAATCTGTTTTCTTTGTGATAGTGAACATAGATATTCAGTTCATTTATATACGTTAATATGTACTGGATATTTGTAGTTTACGTGATTTTCTGTTGAACTGGGCTTTAATAATGTGCAGAATAGTCTGTTTGCTCTGAGAATCATATTAACCCCATTTCTACACTTTGCAGAGTTAATGATTGTTGAAAGTAGGTGGTACGTAAACTTACCACTGTGTTTTAAAGGATTGAGTTGTTTATTGTCGTGAACATTGTTGATGATGAACGGATGTTACGTGAAATGAATCGATTTTCTCGTCTTTAACTCTTCATTGCGTTACAGTTGTGACATTTTCAGTTTGAGCTAACATTTGCAGTTCTCCTTTGTCGTATTCATACGCCTTCTGTTATCGTTCATACTAAGAGAGATGTGGTTACGTAATCACGTGACTGCAACACTAGAGCTGAATCAGCGAAGTGACGGATTTAGGAACTGGGGTTCGATTCCAATCTTGCCTTCCCAGCGTTGTTTATCAGTTCTTTGTGCATTTTTATGCTGCAAGAGTTAATTGACATTTTTGCATTCATTATTATTACAGAATGAATTTTCTTCCGTAGTGTGCGTCCGTCTTCCAATATACTGGATCTTAAAGTACTGGTTCATTACATGTATCAGCGTAGGAAAGTTCAAAATTCTTCATAACTGTCCTCAAATTTGGATTACATTTTGTGAGGTAGAGTTACTAGCTAAGTGAGTTTCCATTGCAAATTTTGTTTGTTTATGAAATTATTGTGTTTAAGTCACTTAAGTAACTTTCTCCAAAATTTAAGTGTGAGGCTTTAATTGGAATTAATTCGAAGGAAATTTGACAGATACGCTTTCTGGTGACATGTTACACGATTTGAGAACAGAACTTTTCAAGGTCATCTCAGTTGACCTCTTACCTTTAACATTGTAGAATGTGATCATTCTTTTATATTTTTTTAGGACGCGTTGATAAGCCGCTCGTGATTTGAGGCTGTGCGCGCGTCGTGTGAAACTGGAGATAAGGAATTTGTAGGTTAGCTGAGTTTGTTTTTTGAGATAGGAATTAAATAAATTTCTTATCAGCCAGAGGCTTTTGAAGCAGGTTATGAGGTTAATGTACTCCTGTTTTAATGGCAGGCCGAATTATGGCTGAGCACTGAGGCAGTGACCGAAATTGTTTAGTTACGCATGTTCTGATTTGAAACATTTGTAAGATTTACGTAATTTTGAAAGTTAGAAATTATTTCCCTTGTTTTTAATTCGGAGTTCGAAATAAAGGTCTGGGCTCTGTTTAATTTAAACAGTTTAAGAGATGTTAAAGGTTTGGTATCTGGTTCACAAAACTTTGTGTACATGAGACATTTAAATTTCTTGATATAAATGTAGATAAAAAGTAGAGCATGAAATGCACTTTGCATGCGAAATGTGTAATACATCGGTGCAGGTCTCCCGTAACTGTAAATAGCTTCAACTTGGTTTTATGTTCTTGCTTATCCTGTGAAGGCGTAATTTAGGTGTTGAACAGTTAGATGCCCACAAAGATTAAATTTATGGCCGTAACTTTACAAAAAATACACTGTTCACAATTAAGAGATTGCGTGATATATCTTCGGAGATGATTTGATTCAAATTTAACACTATTTAAACAATTATTGGCAGTGATGCAGATCGTCACGTGATGCTGGGCTCCTTTCACTACCTAATATCAAACATTTCGTAGCGTCTGAAAATTAGAATATCTTAACAGGAATATTTCTTACTAAATTTCCGTGGGAACAAAGTGAATCCCGTGGGAACCTTTACTTTGTACGTATAAAGGAAGCTTGGATTGTTTATTCAATTCGGGATCTGTGATTCTGTTAATTCGCCGAAAATTCCCGGCTGACGTCAACATCATCTTCACTGCCGTCGTGAGGACCTCAGATCTCCTCTAAGCGTCACACTCCAACTGACTGATGTCATTGTGAATTGCAGAGGCTGAACCCGGGACCTCACGCAGTCTGGTGGCCACGAAGGGAATAACATGGCGTGCTGACTGCTTCAGCGTAGCTCTAACTTCTCGCTCCTTGTGTAAGTAATGGGAACGAATACCGCGAAACTAAATTTCATTAAAATCTTTTCAGCATTTCCTGATTCAGACTTGCCACGGATGATGGCAGGATTACGGAAAGGAATCTCAAGGACGTCTCACGAAATCCGCGGTGACGATCTGTTTTCGAAGTTGCGCCGGTTGTAACTCAACCCTGAAGACGAGGCGATGTCGTGCCATGCCAAATTTTGGCGTTATCTACCCACTTATATATTGTTCATAGTCACGAATTGTACCATCTGAATTGGGGGATTCAGGCTCGTTGTCCAAGGAGCATAATTGGCCCGGAAGTAATTGATGTTTGTAGCTGCGTGATGAACAGACTATTTTGGTGTTATATTAGATGGCTAGTCCATCCGGTGCTTACGTGATTTCATAAATAAATTTACTAAGAAAGCGTTTTTTGCCTAAAAGACGAGTTTATTAAGAAAAACTTTTTCCACAACATTTTAAAACAGTTACCAAAAGAATATCACGTTATTGGAACAATAAACCCCCCCCCCCTCCCGGGGTGATAGTCTGCTTGTAATAGGAGTCTATGGTTACAGTTGACCAAAGTCTTTCGTCATAGAAGATGGACCAGAATTTTCAGTCCAAAACAGCAGTTCCGGTAATTAATTTTTGCATTACAGATAGAAAATCACATCCCACAAGCACAGTTCTTTGTTTCCAGTCCTTCGGTTACAAAGCTTCGCCGTCAGAGGGCTGACCGCCTCCGTGGTAAAACGTTGCCGACCACACAAAGTTCACGATTACGTGATGACGACGTCCCACTGTCCCAGTTTGAATCTGTACGAAATTATTGGTTCAAGAATCTCACGTCGTTTATGTGAACGAAGTTTCGTTCAAGTTCACGGTTCAGGAGGTTGGTGATATTTGAGGTTCTCACGGCGACAAGTCTGAAGGTTGCTGCGCTGTGTATCTGCCCCCATTATCAGGTCATCGTGCTGATGATGGAGGCAGCAGGGGCCTCTGAAATGTCGGTATACTTCTATCAGACTCGACGAAGCAGGGTGTGGGATATGTCAGAAATGAGAGACACCGAATTAGACTCGTACGATCGTTGTCGGACCCCTCCCTCGTACCAGATTTCATCTTACTCGTGCTGGTAGTTTCGAAGTTTGAAATAAAGAGGACGGTCAAGGCTCCAGAGTTCGCGTGGGAATCCAGTGATTCCATCTGTTCCTCACTTCGATGTCAGTGACCTCTTATCTCTTTGTAAACGCTCCTTAGACACTGACCCAAGGGCTGGATTGTTTATATGTAAGCTTCGATGCTAATGAACCAATTTTCCAATATCTTTTAGAGTTTTAAAGGGGATGTTATAATGGAAAAATACATTTAATTATGTTCTGTAGAAGGAGCAGTTGACACCGAACAAGTATTGGGGATACGGGTCTAACCCCTTATTCTGGCTCCAACATTGATGTTTAACGCGTCCCTTTTCCACCGCTCCCATGCTACATGCCTCGCCAATCTCACACTTCTGGATTAGATGACCCCGATAAAATATGGAGCTGGTTATTATGAGGTTTTATTCAGCCTTCCGTCACTTCATACCACTTCGCCATCTTTGAGGCTGAAGATGGAGACGGTAGGCATGTGTTTCTCCTAAATGTTGTCAATCGACGTATCTAGACGGCGCCTACCTATCATATGTTAGGGTGGCTGCCTTGATGTTTCTCGTTCGTCTCTGCTAGCGATGCCATTTAGCAGGATATTGGGGCCTGCTTTAAATAGGCCATGGCCGCTTCCTTCCCAACCCCTCTGCGCGTACGTAACCCAAAAAGGAAGCTCTAAACGGGTAACTGGGGCTCCTAATCAAGACTATAAAAAGTGGAGCGTTGCAGACGAAAAGTAATTGAAAAATAAATTAATTTTAAGTGTTTGCCCCATGGCCCATTTGGACATGGCCATGCACTGAGAGTTATCACACCAGTGGGTGATTACGTACTGTTGAACAGCGGTTCTCAAACTGTGACACTGGTAACCCAAGGGGTACCATAAATTCAAATTCCTGTACATACGCGCACTCGGAAATTTATAAAATTAATTCAAATACTTCTCGCATTTTACATTAATTTAACTTAGCTGTTGTACGGTGTATTTTTTTTTCCTGTCAGCAATACAAATGCACGTTGTGTATATTCCAAGTTTGATACCAGACGTTTCGATGACTTCTGTCAGAGCCCGTGTGTCAGCCTTCGGATCACGGACTCGCGGACGGAAGTGCGCTTTCAGTGAACGATGGCTCCAGAATGGACCAGATAGATTGCGGCCATAAAACCACTCTCGCGGCTTTGGCTCGACACTTCGTGACAGCTGTTAACCGCTGCGCCGCCGGACAAATTAGCACCCCTCCCTAACCACTGACCCGTAGAAGAGGCAGGTTTTCCGACGACCAGTTCCAAATAAGTTTCACACAGCGAGGTATACAGATATGATTAACCCTTTGAAGCCGAAGATCGTCTGAATATTATTTATGAATTCAGTCCGTACCGCGAAGAAAACACTTCACTTAACCATTAGAAGTCGAATCAGGCGGTACCACATAAGATTTAACAAAAGAACATCCCGGTCAAAGCCTTAATACTGCCATGTCTGAACTTGCCTAAGGCAGGATTCCCACCAAAGCTACTAGAAGGTGCGGGTGATACGCGCGAATCATGTTGCTAATGGCAACAGCCCGCAACGTTCATCGGAGGAAACATGGCTTCTAAATTTATCGCCCAGAACATCGTTTCTGCCGTTTCGTCGGACGATACGTACTGGCTATCCCTACGAGGGGCGGGCGTTATAGTGGCTTATTGTCTTATCCGGTGAGCCATGAAGTGTGCAACGCAAAGTGCTTAGGAGCAACGGTGTAACTGACGGAATGATTGCTTTGCGATATGATATCTCGTTGCTTCGGTGATGTCCGTCCTGCTTCGAGGTCTAACAGAAGGAAAGCGTACTTTCGTTGTACTGTTTCTGACCCCCCGTTCATTGGTTCTAATATAAAATCGGCCACAACTGTTTCTCCCCAAATACGTGTATCTGTCTGCAGCCCCTGCAAGGTAAAATCGGCCACAACTGTTTCTCCCCAAGTACGTGTATCTGTCTGCAGCCCCCTCAAGGTCCCACGTTTGCCTTCGGAACAGCTTCCAGACTTTGAAGTTCGTGAAGTTGATGGTTTTGTTTTCTTTCCGTCAGCTGTAACTCGTGACCCGGGCTGTGTGCTTCAAATGAGTCATTGGTGATTGAAGCGGTTGTTGTGGAGAGATCAAGTTCATTGCACTTTCGGGCCTGCATGCGTGTCTGCGTACTGCAGAGGAACATTCGCGAAGCGTGTTGATGAATCATCTCCTTACTGGTTCGCATGCTGATGATGTCGTCCCAAGGGCAGTTACATTTATACTTGCTTCAAATACTAATTCTAAATCCTCTCCATCTGTGCTTCATATAAATCCATTAATCTGTCACAGATTCATCTGATCTTTCCATCTCATTCACGATTCCAGGCAGCCTCTTCGGAAAATTTCCTTCTCTCATCTCCTTGCCCTTGCTATAGGCAAACGGAACGTTATCAGCTGATTGGGTCAGAAGTTAATTAAAAAAAACACGCCGTTATCAAGACGCGTTTTTAGGGTCGCCCAGTTTATTCACCACGTTCCTGGGCACAATGAATGGAGCGGAGGCCTTGAGAAGCTGATTGTTGTTCATCTAGTCATAAATCCTCTGCCTTCCTGGGGGGAAACCCCCTACAGATTCGTTAACCTCGTTCGTCGGGTCCCGCCGACAGCCCGTACGAGTTCATTTCAGACTCACATCCTGTATTTTAGAACCATCTTAACATTTTACGCTGGTATCGAACAAATGGTCTCTTCCATCGAGGTTTCCCTACTAAAATTTTGAATGTATTTCTCATCTCTTCTTCCTTAAACGCTGTCTCATCCATCTCGTTCTTCTCGCTGTGGTAATTTTAGTGTTTGGAGAATAATATCGGAAGTTATGTTTGCAGGACAAATATTCTTCAGGTAACGTGTCATTTTGAAGTTGGACACGGAAGATTCCCGAACATTCACCTACCGCTTGTTGTGTTTTGGCAAAGGACGCAGTGGGGCGTGGTATAATGGACACCAGAGGACGATGGATGTGGTCAGTGAATTGATTGCTGTCTCGTGTTACGCACTCCAGAATCACTTGTTAACAAAACGATGTGGGAAGAGAGCAGAGAAGGAACAAGGAACCTGTCACACTAACTGGTAGACCCCGCGGTGTTTCTCAAACGGTGTGCCGCGAGCTTCTGTCAAGCGCGTCTCGAGGCCTTGAATAGATGAACGTGCAGATGAAATGGCTAATTCCACATTATTATCTGTAATTGAGTATCTTTTAATAATTAATTGCGTGACAGAAAATTTATATTTGAAACTTGGAACAATTAGTGGCCGGAAGGTAGCGCCCTCTCTTGGAAAGAGTTTCGATTGAAAAAAGTTACACCAGGGAGTGCCTTGAAATTGGGCAGATTTGTTAACAAGGAAAGTTGACGGAAAACATGTCTAAATATTATTCAGCTATTCTATGGTGCAGGATATTCTTTTAAAAGTCGATTATGTCCTCGGGTTGTCAAAGAATAGCCCAATTTCTTCATGGAACCCGAAGGCTCATCACCGTGTTCACAGAAGCCCGCCACCGGACTCTACCCGAGCCAGGTGCATCCAGTTCCTCTCCATCGATTCCTGTCTCCCTAAGGCCCATCTTAACGTTACCCTCCCATCTACGCCTAGGTCTTCCCAGTGATCTTCTCCGTTCTGGCCTCCCAAGCCAATGCCTTGTACACACCCCTCAGTGGGAAAGAAATATTAATCAAAAACTCAAGTGTGATCGGGACCATGCCAAGTTAAGATGTCCGAATGCGAGCGTCAGTTCTAATTCCAGTGTTCCGCAAAACTACTGAATGTCCGAAGTGTGATGGGAACACCAAGAGGTCGAGACCCACTGG